AACCAACTAATTACTGGGGACAAATAATGAAAAAACAGGTATGGGTGTGAGGGTCAAAGGGTTAAAACGAGGGAACCGGATGGGGATACTGAGCAGAGAACCCTGGACAGCGCCCACTGCCCCCCGAAGGTCGAGAGAGATCCAGCAGACGCTGCCCGTTGGAACTCTGCCCGGATACGTGAGCGGATCCAGCAACGGAAGTCCATGCTCTGCGGAGCCAAGATCTCAGGGTGGCGGATAGTCCCAGAGCCCGTCTCTGTCCCACACACCAGCATGAGCCAAGTCCAACCCCTGCACCCCAGCCCAGCCCCATCTCCTCCCTTTCCCCTGTCTCAGGCATCCAGATGGAGAAGGTGTTTGACTACAGCGAGTACTGGGAGATGGCGCGGGGCCTTTACGCCGCCTTCGACTGCACGGCCACCATGAAGTCGGGCAACGCCGACGTGTATGAGAACGAGATCCCCGGGGGGCAGTACACCAACCTGCACTTCCAGGCCCACAGCATGGGGCTGGGCAACAAGTTCAAGGAGGTCAAGAAGGCCTATGTAGAAGCCAACAAGCTTCTGGGGGATCTCATCAAGGTCAGAGCACAGACCTCAGGGGGCCGCCAGCCCTGTGCGGGGGGGAGGGGGGCTGGCTGGCCCGGGAGGGTGGGAAATGGGACATGGGGCTTTTCCCCACCTGGGGGCACCAGATCTGACTGGCCCCAGGACGGGGGTCCTGCCCGCACTGACCCATCTCCTGCCTGTGCAGGTGACACCGTCATCGAAGATCGTGGGGGACCTGGCACAGTTCATGGTGCAGAACAACCTGTCGCGGCAGGAGGTGGAGGCCATGGCAGACGAGCTCTCCTTCCCGCGCTCCCTGGTGGAGTTCCTGCAGGGCTACATCGGGATCCCCTACGGTGGCTTCCCTGAGCCCTTCCGCTCCAAGGTGCGGCTGGGCAATGGGTGGGGTGGGGCTGTGGGGGGCAGGGCTAGATCAGGTTCCTGTGCTGGGAGCTCTCTGGGCCCTTCCACTCCAAGGTGAGCCATGGGGACCACAGGGCGGAGCTATGGGGGGGTATCCCCTTCCCTAGCAGGAGGGGGCTCCCATTGCTCCAGCCCCCCCAGCATGGGATTCTGATGCTCTCCCCTCAGGTGCTGAAGGACCTGCCCCGCATTGAGGGGCGCCCAGGGGCCTCGCTGCCCCCCCTGGACTTCCAGCAGCTGGAGAAGGACCTGCGCACACGGCACCAGGAGGACGAGATCACCCCTGAGGACGTGCTCTCGGCCGCCATGTACCCCAAAGTGTTCGACGAGTTCAAGGAGTTCACGGCCACCTTTGGCCCCGTCGAGTGCCTCAACACCCGCCTCTTCCTGGAGGGGCCCAAGATCGCCGAGGAGTTTGAGGTGAGGGAGACAGAGAGTCGGGCCAGGCCCGGGGGGCTGTATGGGGGCTGTGTGCTCTGGGTGGACCTGGGAGTAGGAGTCGAGGGAGTGTGAGGAGAAGTTTGAAGTGGGAGGTTGGGGTCTGTGGGGAGCTGGGAATAGGGTTAAGAGGAGACTGTGTTGGGGGGCCTTTTGGACCAGTGGGACACTGGGAGGAGCTCCGGGTGGGGTGGCTCCCACTCTGGGACCCAGGAAAGCGTCACCATGTCAGTCCCCCAGAGCGAGTGACTGACTCTCTGCAGACTCAGGAAGCTCCGGGGCCTCCCCGCTCTCTGTCTCCCCCTGCAGGTGGAGCTGGAACGTGGAAAGACTCTGCACATCAAAGCCCTCGCGCTGGGAGACCTGAACCGGGCTGGCCAACGCGAGGTCTTCTTCGAACTCAACGGCCAGCTGCGCTCCATCCTGGTCAAAGACACCCAAGCCATGAAGGTGCCTGGGGGTGAT